TTCTTGTTTAGCCTTACTTTAGTGCAAGACAGGGCTTAAAGCCTTTTCAATGATTTAAAAGCTGCACGTGCAGCAAGTGAAGGTGATTGTGATGAAGAAATCTGTCGCGAGTAGGGATTTCAAAGTGAGGGAAAATTTACATAACATTAAAGGGCAAGTACAAGCTGTCCATAAGTTGAACGCTCTTAACCCAGGGACTGCCTGTTTTAACCATCTTAACAGTATTAATTATTCTGATCCATGGACATGGGATGTCTTTCCACTTATATAGGTCTTCTTTAATTTCTTCCAACAATGGTTTGCAGTTTTCACAGTATGAACATGCACTTCTTGTTAAATTTATTCCTATTTTATTCCTTTTGATGAAATTATAAGTGAAATTGTTTTCTTAACTTCACTTTCAAATGGTTCATTGCTAGTGTATACAAATACAAATGGTTTCTGCTATTGATCTTGTATCCTACAACCTTATTAAACTCATTTATTAGTTCTAATAGTCTTTTTTTAATTGTGCTTTAGGTGAAAGTTTACAGCTCAAGTTAATTTCTCATTCAAAACTTTATACACATACTGTTTTGTGACACTGGTTGCAATCCCCATAATGTGACAGCACACTCCTCCTTTCCACCCCAGGTTTCCTGTGCCCATTCCTCCAGTTGCTGTCCCTTCCTGCCTTCTCATCTTGGTTTTGGATAGGATTTGCCCATTTGGTCTTGTATATTTGATTGGACTAAGAAGCATGTTCCTCACGTGTGTTATTGTTTGTTTGACGGGCCTATCTAATCTTTGTCTGAAAAGTGGGCTTCAGGAATGGTTTCAGTTCTCAGTTAGCAGAGTGTCCGGTGGCCACAGCGTCGGGGGTTCCTCCAGTCTCTGTCTGGTCTTTTTTAGTGAATTTAAATTCTGTTCCACATTTTTCTTCCATTCTGTCTCTGGGACTCTCTGTTGTGATCCCTATCAGAGTGGTCACTGGTGGTAGCTGGATACCATCTAGTTCTTCTGGTCTCAGGCTGGTGGAATCTGGTTCATGTGGTCTTTTAGTCCTCTGAGCTAATATTTTCCTTGTGTTTTTGGTTTTCTTCATTCTCCTTTGCTCCAGATGGGATGGGATCAATCGATGTATCTTAGATGGCCGCTTGCAAGTTGTTAGGACCCCAGACGCTACTCATTAAACTGGGATGTAGAACATTTTCTTTATGAACTATGTTATGCCAATTGACTTAGATGTCCCCCAAGACTATGGTCCCCAGTCCCCAGACCCAGCTACTTGGTCCCAATAACAAATGTTGGCGAGGTTGTTGGGAGTGGGAATGTAAAATGGTACAACCACTTTGGAAAACGATATGGTGCTTCCTTAAAAATTTAGAAACAGAAATACCATACAATCCAGCAATCCTACTCCTAGGAATATACCCTAGAGAAATAACAGCCATCACACGAATAGACATATGCACACCCATGTTCATTGCAGCACTACTCATAATAGCAAAATGATGGAAACAACCTAAATGCCCATCAACAGATGAATGGATAAACAAATTATGGTACACACACACAATGGAATACTATGTAATGAGAAAGAACAATGAATCTGCAAAACATCTCACAACATGGATGCATCTGGAAGGCATTATGCTGAGTGCAATGAGTCAGTCATAAAAGGACAAATATTGTATGAGACCACTATTCTAAGAACTTAAGAAAAGGTTTACACACAGAAAAAAGCATTATTTGATGGTTATGAGGGTGGGGAGGGAGAGAAAGGGGAAATCACTAACTAGATAGTAGAAAAGTGTTGACTTTGGAGAAGGGAAGGACAACACACAATATAGAGGAAGGCAGCACATCTAACAGTCTTTTAATGGATTTTTAAAGTGTGTTGGATTTTGTCAAATGCTTTTCTGTATCTGTTGAGATGATCATGTGGTTTCTGTCCTTTAGCAATACAGCATATAACGTCAATTAATTTGTGGATGCTAAACCAACCTTGCATTTCTGGCATAAATCCCACTTGCTCATGGTATATAATTCTTTTTATATGTTGCTAGATATAGTTTGCCAGAATTTTGTTGAGAATTTTTTTGTCTATATTCATAAGAGATGTTACTCCGTAGTTTTCTTTTCTTGTGACATCCTTTTCTGAAGTGTAATACTGGCTTCACAGAATCAGTTGTGAAGTGTGCTCTCTTATTTTTGTGAAAGAGTTGTAAAGAACTAATATTAATTCTTCTTTAAATGTCTGGTATGATTCACCAGTGAAATCATCTGGGCCTGGGCTTTTCTTCGTAAGAAGTTTTTAAAACTACTAATTTGATCTCCTGTTACAGGTCTATTCAGATTTCCTATTCCTGAGTCGGTTTCAACAGTCTGCATCTAAGAATTTTTCCATTTCATCTAAGTTATCTAATTTGTTGGCATGTACTTGTTCATACATTCTGTTACAATCCACTTCATTTTTGTAAGCTCAGTTGTGATGCTCCCTTCTTCATTCCTAATTTAGTAATTTGAGTCTTTTCTTTTTCTCTTGTGCAGTCTAGCTAAAAATTTGTTAATTTTGTTGATATCTGCAAAAAAACCAACTTTTGGTTTCATCAATTCTATCATTTTTCTATTCCATATTTCATTAATTTCCACTATAATCTTTATTATAGTCTTCCTTTGGCTTGCTTTACATTTTATGTGCTCTTTTTTCTCCAGTGTCTTAAGGTGAAATTTAGGTTATTGATTTGAGATCTTTTTTCTTTTTTAATATAGGGGTTTATAGATATAAATTTCCCTCTAAGCACTGCATTAGCTGTATTCCATAAGTTTTGATATGTTTGTTTTGTTTTCACTCATGTCAGAGTATTTCTAGTTTCCTTTGTGATTGCTTCTTTGATGCACTGGTTATTTAGGAGTGTGCTATATAATTTCTACATATTGTGAATTTACCAAATTTCCTTCTCTTGTTTCTCATTTCACTCCATTGTAGTCAAAGAACATACTATGATTCCAAATCTTTTAAACTTATCAAGGCTTCTTTTATGGTCTAGCTATAGTCTATCTTGGAGGATGCTCCATACAAGCTTGAAAAGAATATGCATTCTGTTGCAGGGTGGAGTGTTCCATAGATGTCTATTGGGTCTAGTTGGCTTACAGAGTTGCTAAAGTCTTCTATTTCTTTGTTGATCTGCCTGGTTGTTCTATCCATTATTAAAAGTGAGACAGTGAAATCTCCAACTATTATTGTTGAATTGTCTATTTCTCCCTCCAATTCTGTCAGTTTCTGCTTCATGTATTTTGGGGCTCTGTTGTTAGGTGTATATATGTTTATAATTAACTCCTGATAAACTGACCCATTTATCATTATAAAATGTCTCTTTATATCTAGTAACATATTTTAGTTTAAGGTCTATTTTGTCTGATATTAGTAGAGCCACTTCAGCTCTCCTATGGTTACTATTTCCATGTTATATCTTTTTCCATTCTTTTAACCTATTTCTGTCTTTGAATCTAAAGTGTGTATAAAATATTTTCTGATCTTATCTAGTTTTCTGTATAGTAGTGAAGAGATGGACTCTGGAGTCAGACTGCCTAAGTTTGAATTTTAGCTCCACCACTTTCTAGCCGTGTAATCTTAAAAAGGTTATTTACTCTATTTGTGCCTCAGGTTCCCTATCTGTAAAGTGGGGATGAAAACAGGACCTATCTCATAGAGTTAGTGCGAAGGTTACACAATATATGTAAAACACTTGATACAGATCCTGGCATATATTAAATGCTACATATTAACTATTATTATTATTATACCCACTCAACCCTGCACCCCACCATCTCTACTTGGACTATTTGGAATAGTTTTTCCCACATCCACTCCTTTACTCTTCCAATCTGTTTTCCACACTGTAGCTAGAAGATCTTGCAAATAACACAAATCTAATCTCATCACTGTCCTGCTTAAAATCCTGTTTTCAACTGCCCCAGGAATTTCACACCAACTCTGCACTGCTTATGGCTCCCCTCACCTTATGGAACCCTTCACCTTCACCTAACATCTACTCACTTATCAGATCTCCAGTTGAGCATACTTCCTCCAGGATTTCACAGTAGCTTAGTATCTCCCTGCATTTCTCTTTCATAACATTCTGCATACATGATCACTACTTTAGTTTTTGTTAAGATTAATTTTCATTAAAAGGGCAGGATAACTGATGGACTGCAGTTCCTATTAACATGGCCCTCATGTGCAGTTCATGCTCAATAAATATCTCCTGAAAGAATACATGAAATGCATCAATCTCTTTCATAGGTTTGTTTCAGTGATTCAGAGAGACACTCTTGGTATACAGTGACAAATGATTCCCATACAGCAAGTAGAAACCTTTCCAGGAAGGCATGAAGAGGGCTGGATTATGAGGTCCTGCTGGAATTTGCGTCTGCATCTTATTCCTAGTTTCTAATACAGTTTCTGGCATATTGTAGGCATCCAATAATGGTGTGTTGAATATTTTTCTTGGGACATGGGTGGCTGGAGTTCGTGATAACTTCAACACTTTCTCTTTCCTCTTATCCCCAAAGCCCAGGAACTTCTACTGCTCTCCCTCAGTCCATTCTTCTAACTATCCAGGTTCCAAAATGAGCCACGCCCCCCACCACACCCTTTAAATTGAAACTCAGACTTCAGGTTTTCTATCGTTAAAAGCGGTTACAGAGAAGTGCAATAAAATTACTGACCTAAAGTAACTGCAGGGCGTCCCTGGCTCCTCTCCGTATCCCCTCAACCCGGCCCCCAGGGCCCGGCACATAGTAGGAGTCTACTGAACACTCTTTACCCGCAGTTGAGCTCAATCAAGCCTGGTGAGATAAAAATGGCTCAACTTCCCATCCAAGGAAGGGCCCCGCTCCTCACCCAAAGCTGAGTCCTCTGCCGCTCGTGTTGTCCCTTCACCCGTGTCAGCTCGGGTTCGCGCCCCGGCTCGGGTTCGCCGCCACCTCAGCCCGCGCCCCACGGCCCCACTCACTGTTCTTGAGGAAGCGCTCCTCGTGCAACACGGCAATGGCATTGACGCAGAGCAGGGCTGCCTGCAGCAGCGAGTACAGGGTAAAGGCCATGGCCACCCGGCGCCGCCCTAAGGTCCAACTGCTTCCACTCTCGCCGCCGCAGGGGACGTGGCGACACCACCACCGCGCTCTCCTACGGCAGCCGGAGGAGCCCAAAAAAAACCCTGAGAAGCTCCGCCCCCATCTGGCTAAGAACCGTCCCACGCTTACATCAACAACGAGTGTCTGATTAGCTGTCTATTCGTAGGTTTTGTCCAGTACAGTAACCACGTGTGGCTCTCGAACGCTTGAAAACAAGAATATAAACTATCTCAATAATTTTTTAGCTAATTACATGTCGAACTGATAGTATTTTGGGATAAAAAATATATTAATAAAATGAAAATTTCCTGCTTATTTTTAAAAGTACGAGGGCATTTTAAATGACATGTAAGACTTGTATTATATTTCTGTTGGACAGCGCTGCTCTAGATGCTCACAAGAGCTGTATGAAATCTTAATATTACCATTTTATAGGTGAGGAAACTGAGGCTTTGACAAATTAAATTTTAAAAATAACATGTCTTAAAATTACACCACAGTAAGAGGATAGTTATATCATGTTAAATTGTAGGTATTGTTTGAGGGCAAATTTACTTTGGACACGTCATCAGCAAAAACCAATTACTAGAGCATATCATATTTGGTAAAGTAGATGGTCAACGAAAACAAGGGAACCCCTGGATGAGATGGGTTGACACAATAGCCACAACAATGCACTTAAACATATCAACAATCATGAAGATGGCACAGGACTGGGCAATGTTTGTAGTTCTGTCATACATATAGTTGCCACGAGTCAGAACCAGCTCAACAGCAACTAACAACAACAAATGCAAAGTAAGAGGCATTGGTGGTTCAGTGGTAGAATTCTCACCTTCCATGTAGGCAACCAGGGGTGATTCTGGCCAATGTACCTCATACACAGTCACCATCCTTCTGTCCTTGGTGGATTGCCTGTTACTATGAGGCTGAACAGGTGCCAGACTAAGATGGACCAGGAAGAAAGGCTGGGCAATCTACTTGCTTTCGAAAATCAGCCAGTGAAAACCCTATGGATCATAACGATCTGATCTGCAATACATCATGGGGATGGCGCAGGACCAGGCAACATTTGGTTCTGTTGTGCGGGGGGTCACCCTGACTCAATGGCAGCTAACAGCATGTTGCTCAATAAATATCTCCTGTGCAAAGTAAACACTTCCTGAACTTCTCAGGATTCTCTAAGATAGAAAAGGGAAAAGCACCACATTCTGACCCAGAAAGGACTTTGGAAGCGTATGAGTTGCTACTGCTAGAGAAACACTGGCCAAAAAAAAAAAAAAAGATAAAAAAAACAGGAGAGGATGCAAATAACCCAAATAAGAAATGAAATGGGGGACATTACAAAAAAAAAAAAAAAGCATAATTAGTTAAGCTCCCAAGAAGAAACTAAGCGAAACACACAAAATAGTTAGTGCCTACAGAGAAGAAGAGATGTATTGTTTCCCACACATGTACATAAACACTATCTCCAAAATCTGGTCCTAAGTACAAGTCAGGTGCACAAGATACAGGAAGAGAAAATAAAAGGAATAAAAAAAGCAACAGGATGCCAACAAGTTCTCCAGTTTTTCAAGGCCCACAAACCTCAACAGTAGTAATAGTGAAGAAATGTTGTTCTGAAAAGTGATGACAGCGGGATTCTACACTGGGGGAGAGGGAGGGGAGTAAAGGGTGCCGACTGGAGACTATGAGGATGGAGAGAGTAGGGTAGGAATAAAGCCTCCCACAGCCACCCTCCTGCATCACCACTGGGTTATAACTCACACGATCCAATTCTTTTATTGTCAAAAGAATCAGGTTAACTTCTCTGAGCCTCTGTTATTTCATCTGTAAAATTAGATGATTATGATCTCTGAGGCTCCTTCAGCTCCCAAAATCTCTAGATCTAGCAAAAGCAGCTTAAAATGTAAGATAGTGTACAAGTGACTAGTGCCACATTATCTGATTCATTATTTTTCAGAAATCCAGGCTTGCAGCCTAAGTGGATAACAGCAGATTATGGCCTCAAAAAGAACTGCTCCTCTTATGTCCTTATTGCCAAAGAAATGCAAAAGTCTGGAAATTTTATTATACATTTATAAAATTGTTGTCACAGTTAAAAAGAAAATCTACTCCCAAACAGTGAACTGGGTAAAATGGATATTCTGTATCTTCGCAGCTTGAAAAAAAAATTACTGGCTATGGCCTATTTAAAATTAGAACTTGCAGCTTGGTGCTAGGAGCTGGGTAGCACAAATGGTCTGTGCACAACTACTAACCTAAAGGTTGGTGGTTGGAACCCACTCAGCAGCACCGCGGAAGAAAGGCCTGGCAATCTGCTTCTGTAAAGATTACAGCCGAGAAAACTCTATGGAACAGTTTTACTCTGTAACACATGGGGTTGCCGTGAGTCAGAATCGACTTGACAGCAATGGGTTTGGTGTTTTGGGATTTGCTTGGTGCTGAGCTTCTGATCTCTGTATGGTACAGTTTCATGTTAGTTATCCTATCAGACACTATTGTTGGAGATAAAACCTCATTTTCCCAGTTTCAGACACAAATGTCTCCGTCTCATTTGCTTCTTCAAGGGTTTTTTTTTTTTTTTCCTCTCAGGACTAATAGCTGGCACATTGGCATCTTGGACTATCTTGCCACAGACGTTCTTTGTAATATAAATATGGAGTCCGAAGTTTTCATGACTTTTAGAAAGGAAACTGCAAGCCTTACTTAAACTCCTCCTCTCCCCCTGAAAAAAAAACTAGCTATTAATGCAAGTATTTTATTTCTTAATATATAACTTCTGCATTTTCATACACTCTCTGAACCAGCACACTTTTTTTTTTTTAAATGTCATTTGGTTGATTCCCTTGCTAGCAATTTAAAATTTGACACATGCTCATGATAAATTAAGAAAATTCGTGGTTTGGCATGGTCCAAAACAAAATTTAAAATGTAAGTTAACATTAATTACACCCATTACTTCATTAAAAGGTTACCAAAAGGTCAACAATGAAGAATATAATTTCAGAATTAGAATATGTATTTATTTTATGAGTATTTTTATTGATTTCTCTTTTAATTATAAAAGCAATGCATGTTCTTAGTAGAAAAATATTCAAACAGTACAGAAAGTTATAAGGTGAAAATTAAAGATCTCCCTACTCTCCCACCTTGGATCACATTCCTACTCTAACAGATTTAACAGATTTTTGTTATCCTTTTTCTCTCCAGAAATGTCTTTGCACTTAAAAGTGGTGTTTGTATGTCCTGTTTATATAGCATTTTGGTAAACGTTTGGCCCTACTATTCTGTAACTGTGTTTTTCTTTTGTCTTAGTTTTATTTGTTGGGCATGTTTCCTGATGACTAATGGGATGTTTATGTAGCATGAGACCATGCTTCTTTTGGCCCAGTGGAAGTACGAACTAGATGCCTGCCTGTTATGAGACCTCTTGGAAAAAGCCTGAGAACCCCTCAATCTGTAATGGTGTTTTTTTCCTATAAGAAGCATATATAAGAATAACAGACTGAAACTAGTGTTCATGTTCTTTTTAAATTTTTATTTTTATTAAAGCATTAGATGCACTTAGTTTTAAAAGTCATATAGCTCAACAGGACCTATAATGGAAAAACAGTGTCTCCTCATCGGGGATACCAACTCCCCAAGACAATCACTTGAACATTTTGAGTTGTGTTTTCTGACATTTACCTCCATAACTCTGAACAATACAGACAGTGGTCAAAATTTATATAGCTCTTACTATGTGCCAGGCATTGTCTGAATTGCTTTAATTAGTATGCTTATGTTGCTTTTTTTTTTTTCTTAATGTGGGCCCTAATTATTGACTTCCTACTATGGAAGATAAAAATTTGATTCTCTTTCATATCCATTACCTCCACCCCAACTCATACACACACATAGACATTCTCTGTGTGTGTTTGTTTGCAACATAATTATATCACAATTTTGGGTTAAATAAACACTCAGTGTTTAAATTATTCATCATCTCTGACTTTTGGTTCAGCTATATTACTTGCATTAGCCAACAAGATGAGGAAGAAGTGATGGTATGCCAGTTCTTGAGTCTAGATCTCAAGAGGCTTTATATGTTTCTGCTTTCTTTCTTGTGCCTCTGAGACAGAGCCCCCACAGTGCTGTATTCTTTACCTGGCTTCCTCTCCTATAGTGTTGTATTGAAAAATCATTTCCTTTGCTGGGCTTCCCCCACCAGCTTTGCATTTGAATAATGCTTTTGCGTGGAAGTTATATGTAAACTTCATTACACCTGCATAGTATGATTAAGAATATTGCTGACGTAACTTGTATGAACTCCCTACTTGTAAATCCCTTTAAAAGTAACTTGCCTGCCCATGCTTGGTGAGCAGTCTTGGCAGCAGCAGCTCCGACTGACGCCTTTTCCTTGTAAAATGAAATAAAAGTGCCTTCCTGTTCTCCCACCTCAGTCTCTCATTTATTGGCCTGTAAGAGTCATGCCAAGCAAAAACCTGGGGTTTCCACCTGGCAACACCTCTGCCATTTCCATGAAAAACCATGCCTGGACTAGTCTCCTGATCCCAGGAGAAGGATGAGAGACATGTGGAGTAGAACAAATGACCCTAGTCAAGCCCGGCCTAGATCAGCCAACCCTCATCCAACCACAGACTCATGAGAAAAAATGATTGTTGTTTTAAAACAACTATTGACTTTTGGGATTGTTTGTTCCATGATATTTTGGAAGTAACAGATTTCTTCTCTCCTCCATCTACAGTCACTCCTTTGGTGATCTAATTTATTCTAATGACTTGAAAAAACATTTCTATATCTTGATGACTCTCAAATTTATATCACCTCCCAGAATTCACTCATGTACTCTTGATATTTCTGCTGACTGCCACTAATAGACATCTCAAACCTACCTTGCCAAACGGAACTCCTGATCTTCCCTCTGAAACCTAGTTCTCCCACAGTCGTCCCATTCCAGTTAATGACATCTCTATCCTTCCACTGGTTCAAGGAAAAATGCTGGGCTCTGTCTCTTTCTCTG